CTGGGGGCACACACACACAGAAAAAAAAACAACAACAACAAAAAACAAACAAACAAACAAAAAACCTAAATAAATACTCATGTATCAGCACCTGTCATACAGTTTCTCTGCACTACCACTATCGATTTCCTGGTAGTTCTCCTTCCCTACCCAACTTCATTAAAGAATAAAAGTAAAGTAATAAGTCATTTCACACTCTGTCTGACCATTGTACAATAATAGCAAGATTTCATGCAAGGGTACAACATTATGCCCATCTGCAATCACAGTCTCTTTGCAAAAATCTCAATTCACACTTCATATGCAGCTAACCTTGTTACCATTCCCTTCCTAAATCCATCAGTCTTGCAGCTGCACGTCTTCACAGCCCAACATCTTAAAATTCATCACTTTGACACCCTCGCATCCCTACAGGTCAAGCTAAAGAAGCCAACCAAGAATAATTAAGAGGTACCCCAGATGTTTAGTCCACTTTCCTGGAACCGGGTACAGTTATCTCTTCGTACACTAAAGATCCATGTAAGGCGCTTGTTTTCAGGGGATGAGACCTCCGACAAATGTTAGAGCTCTTCTCTCTCCCTCCCCCCCCCTCCTTTTATTTTATTTTTTTTTTTTACAAGTACAGCTCTTTGTAGTCGGAATTTGAAAAAGAAGCGCGATAATGAGTAGGTTCAGGGAAGGAAAGGTGTTATCTCATTAAGGTAATTACTGAGACATCCCCACCATTACCTCGGTTTGAAAATGTGGCAATTAAAGCGCCCTACATGGCTCCCAGAGACGAGGGAACACGGGAACCTTGGACAACTTTTGCGTGCATGGGGCCGGGCCCCGAGCACGGCCCGGGGCAGCGGGGAGGGGATGTCGGGAGCGGCGGCGGCGGGGGGGAGCCCCGGGGGTCGCTGTGCGCCCCGCATCCAACGCTGGCGGCACAGAGCGCCTCACTTGGGTTCCTTTGAAATCCGCTAATTTTGAGGACCTAAGTTTGTGCGCTTCCATTAATAGAAGCGGCTTGTGAAAAATAGGGCATATGAATATGGAAACGGAGTTCTAACGTGCTGGGCGCTCCTCCGGACCTGCTCTCCAGCTGGAAACGCGCAAAGACAGGCACTAGCGCCGCTGCCCCACGGCTCCTTCGACGGCGGGAGCAGTTCAAGGGAGGAACGAACTTCAGGGCCTTTTTCGCGAAACGGGGACACCGGGGAGCTGCGTCCGCCGGTCCCCGGGGGGTCTCTGGCCCCATTGGCTGTCATTGCCATGTCCCTGGAACAGAGCAGGCGCTCCTGCTTCGGAAAGAGGGTCATGTTCGCTGTGATCCCTTTCCCCCGCAAACGGGGCTCCTCGTTAAAGCGGCTACTGGGGAAGAAACCCGGTTGTGTCACCGGCGGGAGACGTGAGCTTAGCGGCAGAACGGAATAGAGTGAGTGAAAAAGCCGTGTAATTCCAACCTGAAACGGTTACTCGCCGCCCATCTCTGACACTCCCGAGCTGGGGATATTTCTACGTTTATGGAAGGGTTTACCCTCTCCACAGGTGAGCTCAGCCTGGCTGCACCCAGTCTACACCCAGAGCTGGAGCAGAGTCATTCCAGTGGGTTGCAATAAGGACTTAGGGCGACTTACAGCATGCATTGGCACAGAAGCGTCTTGTGAATTTGGAGGAGGATAAATTCTGGAAAGGGAGAAAATAACAAAAGTTAAAAGCCCACCCTCACAAGAAACACTAAAAGCTGTAGGAGCTATGAGCAGAGCCGGAGAGCTACACGCGGGCTGCGTTGGTCCGTATAAACGCAGACAGGGTAACCGGTACGGCAGGGAGCTCCACTCAGTACCACTTGCTGGCTCCCACCGTCTGAGCCGGACTCCGGCGCTCAGCTGGGAATGTGATTCAACTTCCGAAGCGCCCAGCTGCTGCCACGGGACCAGGACAAGCACCCTCGGAACGTCAATGTGCCGTTCCTGTGCCCAGCTAAGTCCCCCTTCTCACTTTCTGCTCTAGTGAAGGCCAATCTAATCCCCCGAGAGGGGGTAGTAATTAAACTTGATCCTGCTGCTGCATCCCGCAAGAGAGCCCTTTATTCAAGAGCAGTGGAGCAGTCTACTCGCGGCTCTGCCTCCAGGAGGGCCCGGACAGGAGCCGGAGGCTGCAACGAGTAGCCAAGACCTGTCTAAGCGTAGGAGCTCTCCGAAGAACCTCCCTTGTCGTGCCCACCCGCAAAACACAGCCACGACCGAGCAGAAACAAACCAAAGAGAAAATGGGGACAGGGAGAGCAAAAGTGCTCCTGTGTCCCGTCGCGGTCCCGCTGGTATCAGTCCGGAGGGACACGGGTGGGAGTGGATCAGCCCTGTCCCGCTTGCCGCCAGCCGGCTGGAGTGGGAACAACGTTCAGACATCCGGGACAAAGCCCTGGGAAGGCAGTTCCCTTCTCAGGGCAGAAGGGCCAGGCCCCTAACAGCCCGGGGCTAGCTCAACATAAGGGTTTTCTCCGGCGCGGCGGAGGGACAAGTCAGGACGCGCTTCGGCAGAGGGAGCCTGCCTCAGGCTCCTCAGTCTCCATCACAGGCGAGGGCCGGGGAAGGAAGCCACGAAGTTCGGCCGGACGATAAGTTCCCCGTGCTGCCTTCCCTGAGCCCTGCGGTACGGCCCCAGCCAGGGGCAAGGTGGGAAGCTCCGGCGGGCTGGACGCGGGCTACCGGCACGACAGGAGCCGTGGGGAGCCGGGCCGGGCCAGCCCGCTCCTCCTGGCGCTGTCCGTGGTGCTGAGGGCGGGCGGGACCGGGACCGCAGCCACCCCGCTCCTTGCGGGAAGAGGGCAAACACTCGCAGCTACCCTCCGGCAACCGCGTCCCCTCGCTTATACACCGCTCCTCTACAGCCTCACAGTTTGTTTCCAAGCTTAGCACCAACACGAGGTCTTTTAGAGGGGTGTCACTATTTCCCTCAGTTTAACGCAAGGAGAGCCCTGCTCATCTGGCAACAGATGGATTTCTTTTTTCGCATCCACTTTCAGGGACGAGAGCAGGTCCTGGCCCGGGCGAGGGCCGAGTATGGAGAACGGGACTGAAGGAATTCAGCAGCTAGGCACCAAGTCTGGGGGTGACCACAGCGAAAGCATCTGTCTTGAGAGGAAAGGGAACAACACCCGAGAGCGGGGCAGATGGGGAGGCACAGCTGCCAACGGCGCCGAACCACCTCTGGTGCCCGGTCCTGCGCCGGCGGGAAGGCGGCTCCAGGTAGTCCGGACCGTCGCCAAGCTCTTTGTCCTGCCGTGGCTCGCCGACACACGTAGCCATGTGCCGGGGGGGTTAAACAAGCAATGGAGGGAGGGCTTTCCTGCAAGGCGACCTGGCCGGTCAGCCTGTCTTCTGGTCGGCTCCTTCCCGGTGCAAACGGGGAGTGGTACAAATGGAGCGCTTACATTTCCAGCCCTGCTTTCCGAAAGGGGAGCGATTTCTGCTCCAGACCTGCTCCCGCACTTTCCAGTTGCATCTTGAAGTAGTTTCAGGGAAAGTAGCGGTCCATCTCCCCTCTCCCCCGACAGACCCTGCTTTAGACACCGTTCTACATGGCTCTCGGAACGGCCGCACTCCCTACTCCTGCACGCAGCACTGGGAGCTCCCTCCTCTGCCAGGGCGAGCACCCCGCTGACCCAGACCTGCCCTACTCAGGAGGCGGGAATTGGGGGACACTCATCTATTTTGTGTGAACTTTCCTTCCTTATTCTCACTACTTTTCAACGAGTTCGTACAGTCAAAACCAAGCCTCGATTCAGCCGTGGAGAAGAACAACGAGCCGCGACCAGCTTTTCCAGCTGGATCACATCCTTCTGGGAGAAAGCAGCCCAGGATTCGTTTAGACCTGGAAAAAGGCCCTAAACCGAGCCTAAATTTCCTACCTCCTTCCCAGCCCAGATAAAATGCGTTTCTCGGGAACACCTCAGCGGTGAAGGGGATGGGATGCTCTGGCCACTCGGGGGTCCCGCTCCCGGCTCCTTCTCACAGGGGATAATTTGGGGGTCCCGGAGGAGGCGCGGGGGAATAGTCAGCAGGGGCCACAACCACGGGCAGAGAAAACGAGGTGGGCGTTTCCGACCCGCTCCCCTTTTGTTATATCAAGGCAGAGGTCAATATGGTTTTAACGCGAATTTATTAGCAGAGAAATCAGCAAGCCCCTCGCTAATTAGCAAAGCCCAAATAAACGTGCCCGGAGGCATCTATCTTTTTTTTTCTTTTCCCCTTTCTATCTCAAATGAAAGGGAACCCACGAGCAAAAACAGAGAGAAAAAGAGAAGGGGGGGGGAAAGCAAACCCTCAAAGGGGAGGATAATATGGGACTTTATGAATGTTTTATAGGTAATTGCTGTATAACTTTCTAATTTCGCAGGGGGGTGTTCCCTTCCAAAGACTGGGGCCAGAGCCTTCCCCAGAGCCCGGTGGAGGGTCACAGACCCGAGCCCCGACCCGCGCCTCCGCCTCGTCCCGGGGGACCCGGCGTGGGGAAGCAAGGCGCTAGGGAGGGAACCTGCCTGCCAGGGGAAAGGGAGCAGCAACAAAGATCAAAAGCCGGCGGGTCTCGGAGGGCTTCGTGTCCTTCAGGACCCCTCAACCCTCCCTCCCTTGCTCGTTACTCACCCCGACCGCGGGCGCTCGCTGCCTGTCCCAGCTCGGTACAGAGACGGCTGCCGGGGTGAGAGAGAGTCCCCCAGCCAGACACAACCCCGCCGCGCCGCGCCCTCCCCTAGGGGCCGAGAAAGTGACCAGAGCCAGCCCCTTCCCTACAAAGCCTCTGCCGCCCTGCCCAGGTGCTTAAAATAACGGCGAAGGGCAAAACACCTGCGTGGACACTCCTTTTTCCTTTAAAATACAGATTTTAAAATACAGCGCAGGCTGTGAAACAGCGAGACTAGGGTGAAAAACTGAAAAAAAAGTGGCATTTGCCTTTTCTACTCAGAATTTCTTGCGTTCTTGTCACGGGGAAAATTAGCTACCTTGAATTTCCACGTTTGTTAAAAAAAGATAAAGTTTATTTAATTTTTTTCCCGGGGTTTTTCCCTATTTTTTTTTTTTTTAGGCACAACAAAAAAAAATATTTTTGTCATCTAAGCATTTATTTTACTGAATCAAAAAAGACATGAAAAGGGAGAGGGGAGAATCACGTTCGTTCGTTTTAAACTAACGTATAGAAGTGATTTTTTTTCCTCCTTTTTTTTTTTTTGGACGACATATAATAAATATGATATAGCACTCAGCACTCGGTCTGTACAATTCTGTTCGCATTAGGGAGCATGCCACTTTTCAATAAGAAAAAAATAAAGAAAGAAAAATAAAAGGTCATGAGAAAAATCAGTGCAAAGTTCTCCGTTCCCCCGGTCTTCTCCGCCGGGCGGGGGTCGAGCCGTCCTCATTCCCTCCGTCCTTTGCAGCCGTTTAGTCTCTCCGGCGGGCTCGGGCTCCCTCTCCCTTTCCTCTTGCTCCTATCTCCTCCTCCCCCTCTGCTCTGTCCCTCTCTTTCTCCAAGCTCCAAGTCCTGCTCCGCAGGAGCCGTGGTCGGCGGGTCGCCCCGCAGCTCTGCCCGCCTTCCCCCGCGTGTGGTCGTTTCACTTACGGGCTCGGCTCTGGGTTCACGGTTCAAGAGTCCCTGGCTCTGACTGATCGCCTCCCTCGGTGGCCGGTGGCTGCCTGCAGAAGCTCCTGCCCCTCGGCTTCCCCTCGCTTCCTCCTCTGCGGTGCTGGGGCTTGTTCGGGGACGGGGAGGGGAAGGGCTTGTTGCGGGGATCGCGGTGCCGCTTCACCGGGGGTGCGGGGTGCCGGGCATGGGGTTAGCCAGGGGATTGAGGGCCGGCTGCCCGCCGGGCCCCAGCCCGTGGATCAGCACCCGCGGCACCAGCGGCCGCTGGAGCTGGGGGTGCGGCGCGGGGGGAGTCCGGTACATGCTGCTGTACATGGCCGCGGCTGCCGCTGCCGCCGTCGTGCTGTCCATGCTGCCCAGCAGGCTGGGGTGGTAGAAATAGGGCGAGGGGAACATCCTCTGCAGGGCCGAGTAGTTCCCGGCCTCGGCCAGCAACTCCAGGCCCACTGCCGTCTGCCGCTTCCACTTCGTCCTGCCGGGGGGGAACAAGAGCCGGCTGCAGGGCGGGCGCCGCGACGGGGCACCCGGCCAAGGTCCGCGGGGGTCCACGAACGGCGAGCCCCCTCCCCTGACCTCCTCATCCCGGTGAGGCCTCGCACTACCGGGCCCCCGGCGGGGAGCAGCGGCCCCGCGGGTCCGTACACGGCACGATACCCCGGCCGTGCCCGCCTCCCACCCTCCGCACTCCTCGCCACATGCACATGGCGACTCCGGCCAAATTAATAAGCACGGCACACGGTTAGATCGCATCGCGCTGACACTAATGGTTTGCGACAGAATTAGGGTGGCTGCAACCGTATGTAATGAGACAGAAAATTACGGCAGCAGTGACAGAGGCCGGACCCCCCAGCCGGCCGCCGGGGAGGGCGCGGGGCAGCCGCCCGGCTCTTCCCGCATCCCTCCCGTGAGCAGGAGCGGCCCCACAACGGCTCTCCGGGAATGCCCCGGGCCGCTCCCCCCCGGGGCCCACCTTACCTCCGGTTCTGGTACCAGGTTTTCACCTGCGTGTCGGTGAGGTTGAGGGCGGCGGCCAGGTCCATGCGGTCCTGCACGCTCAGGTATTTCTGCCGCTCGAAGCTGCGCTCCAGCTGGTTGAGCTGGTGGTCGGAGAAAGCGGTCCGCGCCTTCCGCGGCTTCTTGGCCCGCACCGGCGGGCTGTCCCGGCTGCTGCTGATCTCCCGATCGCCCTCCTCCTTTGTCCCTGCGAGCGAGCCGAGGAGCGGTGAGGGCCTGCGGGACCCCGGCTAGGCCCCCCGCCCCTCCGTGGTTACCGGGCCCCTCCGCACTCTTCCCTGGGGGCTCCTCCGGGACATGGAGGAGAATGGTCAAATACGGCTTGGTGAGGGGGAAAGCGGCGGCGAGCCCGTCCAGGGGATGGCGGGATTTCCCTTCTCCGCTCGCCAACGACACGGTTTTCGTTATTTTCTCTCCCTCTTCCCCCTGGCCCGAAATACCGGGAAATCGATATGTCAATCCGGCTCCTTTCGGGCCCGGGTTTGTGGCGCTCCTTGATCTTCCCCGCAGGAAGAACAATAATCTGCCTAATTGACCCACTGGGGAGGTTGGTGAACACAAAAATGGCCAGACCAGACTGTACATCTGGTTTGGGCACTCTTATGCTAATGCTGAAAGAGCAAGATGAGTAACGCGCCCGGGCGTCTTTCTGCTCTTCAGCATGGCAAAAATATCTCAGCGGGGCAAAATGAGAGAAATGTGTCCCGTCGACTGTCGCTGACCCAAGCTGCCTGCGAGCAGGGCAGCTCCGTGGGGAAACAGCCGTCTCCCGCCTAGCCCTTCATCACTCTTTTCCTTCCTTCCTTTTCCTTTCCCCATGCACACTTCGCTATTTCCATTTCCGAAGCCCGCACGGCGGGGGCTTCCCCATCAGCACGAAACCCATAATTAGAAAAAGGAATACAAAAAATGGAGAAATTAAACCCTGCATCCCGGCGCTGGGAAAACCCGGGTGTTTTGCAAAACGCACAAAGCCCTCCAACCTTCCCTTGCCCATCGCGGGCCGACTGTGTTCCAATTCTTTTATTTTTAATTAAAAGGGTTTTTTTTTTCTTTTATTTGCTGATGGGGAAGTGGGATTTTTTTCCCCCCATATTTTTATTTTAGATCGAATGGGCAGAAATGGAAAAGCTGAAGGCAGTAACTGCAGCTGAGCCGCCGGTTCTTAGAAAGCTAGAGAATCATTTATGAGCGTTTGAACTAAAAATAAATACATTCTGGTTTCCACTGCTCGGGCTATTTTCTTAAAAACAATAAAGTTAAATAAAAAAAAAGAGAGGAAAGGCCTACAGAGAGAAGAGGGGTGGAAAAAAGAAAACGCGATTTCATCTCCTACAGATCTCAAACCCGTGGTAGCGAGGATCACCGACCAGCCCCAGTGGAGCGAGAGCTCCCACCACACGTTTCCCCCGATTTTCGTTTCGCCGATGCGCCGACCGCCGCGGCCCGGGTTTTAAGGGCTACCGAGGCGGTGCAGTGCTGGGCCGGGCAGTACTCACCATGGCATTTGATGTCGCCCTGCGTGTCGTCGCGCTTGTCGAGCTTGGCTTTGCTGTCTTCCTGCTCGAGTTTGGGCCTGAAGCTCTCCGGGGCTGCGCTGCCCTCCTGCTTGGGGGTGTGATGGGGAGAGGGGACGCTGGTACTGTAAGGTGCACACGCCGCCAGCGGTTTGCTGTCGCCCAAAATGTCCTTAATTAAAAAAGAAGAGGTGGAAGTCCTGGGGCCGGTGCTGGCCGAGCCCAACTGGGGCGGCGGCGGTTGTGGGGGAGACGGCTGCAAACTCGGCGGCGGCGGCGGGTGCGGGCCGAGGTGGAGGTGGTGCGGCGGCGGCGGGAGGCTCTCCGCCACCCCCAGGTGCGGCTCTGGGTGGTCCATGCTCACCGAGATGGGCGACGAGGGCGCCGTCCCCACAGTGTCGATCTCCGAGCAGGGGGACGGCGTGGCCTGGCTCCTAAAATCCGCCGGCCGGCCGTCGCCGTGGGGGCGAAAGTCTCCGTTCATGACTCCGGGGCTGCCGGTGCTGCCGCCCGACAGGATCGTGTCTATCCCGAAGCTGGATCCGCTCGGCCCTTCCATGGCGGACCGCTTAGCGCCGTGCCCGCATACCCGGCGGGCGGCCGCGGGGGTCACACCGAGTTGGAGGGGAAGTGGAGTGGAGGGGGCAGCGGGGGTTACCCCAACCCGCGCACCGGCGGCGCGGGCGGCCACTAACGCGGGGCCCCTGCCGAGCACCACATCCCCGCCGGGCCGGTTAGCCGCTACCTAACTTTGTTGCGGGAAGTTGCGGGCGCGGAGCGGGGCGGACACCGGCCACTGCGGCGCGCCCGCCCGTGCCCACCGAGCTCCTCTCGGCAGCGGCGACTCCCCCCGTGACGTCACGGCCGCCACGGCCCCCCACCCCCCGACGTTTATTATTACCCCGGGCTTTTGCCGCCGCCGCCGCTGCCCGCTTCCATTGGCAGAAGGCCGAGCGGGGGCTGACGCAGCGCGGGAGGCAGCCAATCAGCAGCGGGGACGGGCGCGGGAGGGGGGACGGGCGCTCCCTCCCTCTCCCGCGCCCGTCCCCGCTGCCGCCACCGCCCCGTCGGACCCCGGTCCCCCGGTCGCCGGATCGGATCCGATCCCTCGGCCCCCGAGAACACCAGCCTGGACGGTTCCCTGGTTGAATGTCAGAATAATGGGAAGTGCCAGTGACAAGACGTCATATTAATCCTATGAAGTGGCGTGTCAAGCTGATTAGCAGAGTAATTATAAGGGTGGCATGAATGATTTAGAGATCTCCCAGTTCTATTTTAGTAGGAATTACCACTTTCAGACCCCTGTGAAGCCCACCCCGACATTTCCTTTGGCAGCATTGCCAACAGCACCGGGACCCGATCAGCTGCAAAACCAGCAGCTGCAGCCCCAAACCTAGGGGGCGCGGAGGGACAGGGCAGGGCAATGGGGGCGCAGGGAAGGATTAGGGCAGGGTAATATCTAGGGAGATTTATGGGGTGCTGGCATACAGCGAGAGCACTAGGTGATGATGCCTTAGGTGTGGGGCCCCTGGCATCCACTCCCCTCATACAACGGTTGCCCCGGTGATGGGAGCCCGCTGCCGGCCTAGAGAGAGAAGCAGGGAGATAGAGGACACAGAGTGTCCCTCCTAACCATCTCGTAGCCCTGCCTGTCCCGTACGGGAATGCCAAGCCCACTCCTGTGCAGACCCCCAGCCCTTTTTCCACCGCTGATCCTCTCCCGGGAAAGACGTCCCGGCCAGAGCTACAGAGCTACAGGGTATGGGAAATCCGTGGGGATCACAAAGGTTGTGGGGGACCGCGGCGAGCCGGTAACTTGTGGCAGGAGGTTGGGTCTGAAGTGAGACGCTGCAGCCCTGAGGCAGAGGTGTGGGACGAGAAGCCGAGCTTCTGGGCCCTCTCTGAAAAAAACCACCTGGCCTTCCATGGAATTCACCTGTCACCGGTGCCACATCTGAAGCGCACCGGCCACTTCGGAAGAAGTTTTTGGACTGCAGGCAGCCCTGCCCGCCAGAGCCCGCTGCTGCATCAGCCCCTAAGGCCTCGCATCGCCGCCCGCCTCCCCCCGGGCAGCCTCGGGGCAGACAGGCGTACGGTTTGCACCGGAGCTTTAAGCACCAATGCTGCGTCGGAGGCCGGTGAGGGAGCGGGGACGGCGGGGTCAGAGGAGGTGCAGGGCCGCCCGTGTCCGCTGGGCGGCGGTAGCGGCCACCCCCGTCGTCCTCGACGGGCGCCCTACGCTGACGGGGCCGGAGGCAGCTCGGGCTCCGCTCCCCCGGCCCGAGCGGGATTAGCGGCATGGCAGAGTGACCTCTCTACAGATGGGGGGGGGGGGGGGGGGGGGGGCTTGAAGGAACAAGGAGAGGAAATAAAGGTGGAAAACTGGGGAGCAAAGTGAAAGATCGGGAGAAAGGGAAAAGATCCCCAACAATTTAACTATCTGCAAATGCCCAGACAGGTTCCCTGCAGTAGGGGAGCAGCCCGCGGCCGCCGTATTTATCCTGCTGTCTTGGTTTGCAATTTACCAAAGTATGTCCTAATTATCCCTGGGGGAATGCGGGATCCGGGGTAATATGTTACACTAGCATAATCCTTTAACTCACAATGCACTTCCCCCCGGAATCGGGATTTAGGGCTTAAAGTCATGCTCCTGAAGGGTGAACACCTTTCATTTCCTTCCTCTTATTTTTTTAATCCTCGACTCCATTGTGCAGAAATATTCTGGAGGGAAAAAAGCGGCGAGGCCCGCCCGGGGCAGCCACTCCGAGGCCCGGTGCGCCGCTAGCCTCGGCCTCAGCTCTACTCGGTGGGACCGCACGTAAGAGGCTTTCTTTTCCACCTCCTATATTGGCATCCTACGCAAGTGGGTAGGGCAGCGGGGCTCCCCTTGCACTTGTTGAGGCAGGGGGTGGATGTGGGACAGTACAGCCCTGTGTTCTCGCAGCCCCCTGCTGCGTGACTCCCCCTTTCTCATCACACCCCACCCGTCTGACTGCGAGCAAAACCACGGAGCCCCCCCAGTAAATCAGCAATAGCCGAATCAAAGCGATGAGCGAAGGTGCCACTCAGAGGAGTCAGCCGGAGCCCATCTCGTTAATTAACAGGCAGCTAATTACAGTGGCACTTTGAGCAGTAATCAATGGCCCGATGCAGGCTGAGGGCAGCTAGCGACAGGGACGGGATATCATGTGCAGGGCCAAGGGATGCTGGTCCCTGCCCCGGGGGGCAGCCCCGGCCGAAGCATCACGGACCGGCCCCGAACAGCAGCTAGCAGGGTCCCATCCCACCGAGGGGGACCCTCGACAGGGCAGCTTGGGGCGGGTAGGGCGCAGCATCCCAGCCCTGGAGGGGTTTGTTCCCAGCCGTGTTTCGGCGCGCAGCCGTGCTGGCTCAGTGGCAGCCTCGCAGCGCTGAAGGAAGGGGGGGCGAAGGGGGCCGGGAGGGGCCGAGCCCGTTGTACTGTGAAATTTAACAGTCTGAACATCCCTTTATTAAAAGCTGCTGCTTGACATTTACACTGTGCCAACAGACTCGCCGTCTAATCCAGGCGAAAATATATTGTACCTCGGAGTAATTGGGGCCGTTGCAAGAGGCGCTACAGAACGATTCTCAGCGGGAACAAAACGGCGCGGAGCCGGGTGCAGTGCGAACGCGGAGCCGGCCCGATCATCCCCGGCAACCTCGCCGCGTCCGGGCAGCTGCTCTGCGCTGCCCTCCACCTGTCCGTCCTTAAGAAGGGGAAGTAACTGAAAAAAATAAAGAAAAAAAAAGGGAAAAATATATAAAAAAGCGAAGACAGTTAACTTTCTGCTCAAAAAAAAATTAACGTTTAGCGCTACTGTTTTTCTTTTGTCAAATGTTTTCCGCGATGCAGGCTGAGGACATGATCAGAAATGCTCAGGGAGCAGAAAGCACATTGATTTCAGCTTGTTCTGTCCGCAGACAGGCCCTGACAAGGTTGTTAGAACAGTTGGGGAGGTCTCTACAATCACTTAATTACCAAAGCTGTCACTCAGGCGGGACGGGACTGGCCGCTCATGTGGCTGCGAGGAGCATTCCACTACTGGGTTTCCTCCGTGATGGATCTGTGCTGATGGCATTGCAAAATAATTATAGTGAATTTTCTGATGTGTGATTTTATACCACGTTCATGCTTCAGAAAGGTAATCGGAAGGATGAGAAGGGTCAGTGCCATTTCATATTACCTGAAGTCCAAGCGAAAGGGTAGAAAAAAAATAAAGCCGAACCCAAGGAGCAGAGAGGAGGAGGAAGGGGCACAGCGATGCGATTGAGAATTGCTGAAGGGTATTGCAAGCAATTCGTCAAACTGTGCAAGTGATTTCCTTCCGAGCCAACAAATGGCAGATTGATTTTGTCCAGCGTAGGTTTAGCCACATTTAAAATGATCCAGCGGTTATTACTGCGATTGGCTTTGCGGCTGACAGGCAGTTGTAGGCAGAAGGAGAATAGATCCTGTTTACAGGAGACGTGTTCTTAACTGCTGTCAAATGCAGTTAAGTAAATATCATTAGTAAGAAGTGCTGTTAAGAGAGAAAAAATGCCAATCCGATAAATATGCTTTTCCTCTTGTCGGATCCCTGCTCTTCTCGGGAAGGTTCTGCAGGAAGGAGCCGGCGGTTTCCTGGCTAGGGGAAGGCTCTTTCCTCGGAGCTTCACCAACGGAATGGAGGGGGGAAATCGCGGGTGCCCGCCGTGACCCCCTCCCAGAGGCCTGACGGGACGTACAAACAGGGCTACCCCACACCGGGATAGGGGCTCCTCGGCCTTGTCAGGACAAGGGGAAATAACAGGGTGGGGAGGTTCGCGGAGTTCCCCCAGGCGAGGTGCCCTGCGGCGGTAGGACGCACCGGGAAGCCTCCCCACTGCAGCCCTCGGGGGTCCAGAGCAGGGAAGGACGTGCTGGGGACGGACTGCCCAGCCCTGCTGGTTCAGCCCCGCCAGAGCTTTAGGTCTTCCCCGGACCGTCCAGGTCCGCTTCAGGCCGCCCCGTCGGGGCTCTGGCCGGGCCTGGAGAGCAGCGGGCGGCGGTGAGAGGAGCCGGGCATCACCACCGCCGGTGAAGGAGGGAGCTGCCGCTGCCTTTGAGGCTCCGCAGGGCTCGGAGCTTCCCGCCGAGGCGGAGCCCGCCCGCGAGGCGTGCGGCGTGTAGCCGCTTGGTAAAACAGGCTAACCGGCTCCCTCTGAAGATGTAAAGTCTGTGTTTTTTTTCCAGGGAAATACACGGTGCCTCACCAGAGAAGAAGCCGGCCACCTGCAGGTTTCTTCTGGAGAGCGTAAAACATACACCGCCTTCGTAAAGATCGTGAATGTAAAGAACCTTGTCTATTTAAAAGAGATGCCGCATTTTTTAAGTCAAATAGTACAATGTATGTGGCGAATCAAGTAGGTAAACAACTTACATATGGTTGCTGCACTTGAAGGAACCACCGTTCTCATGCACAGCAAATTGAAGAAACAATGGCACTAATGAGCCTTGCAAAATGCAACTGTGAATAATGAAAGACAACACTGCATTTTGCAACAGAAAGAATAAAGGTGAAATAATCAGCTAGCAAAGAGGAAAAGAAAGCGAGCAATGATTAAATGATCAAAAGCTGGCAGAGCAAATTCAATGTCACTGCCAGACGCAGTCATCTACCCACAAGTGAAAGTTAGGTTTCAAGCACAGTGTAATTATAGCGAGGGTTGTCAGTTTGACATTAATGCAGCCAGCAGAAATTTCCTAATTGGCCTCAGAGGAGAAAGTGAACCAGAAAATATATTAACATTTTAAAAAAGCATATTTTGCCTAATCCTTTCACTTTCCAACAATATTTGAAGACCAAAATGCCCCAGGCATAAGAA